TGTGTGTGTATTTGTGTATAAGCTTTACTGGTTTTCCTTCTTTAGAGAACCCAGCCTAACACAGAAGGGGATCCTGGATAGAGTGGGAGAATGATGTGGAACAAAACTCAAAACCATAAAAAGAGAGAGACAGAGAGAGAGAGACTAAGTTTGCTGGTCTGATAAAGCCTGGTGAAACCCCTGAGACTATGGGCCCTAGCTGCCCTTCAGGTCTAGAACTGAACCCACTCCTGTGGCTTCCAGCCAAACAAAAGACAGGCATATGAGTTGAACATTTACCTGAGGTAGATAAACTCCTTGGAGAGATCAATCATGGGAGAATAGAAGGGCTGTGTATGCACAGGCAGACAGCTCAGGATGGAGGAGTATATGGGACGGAAGGAGACAGAAAAGAGGTAACTATGGGGAAGAAGTGAGAAGAGAGCTGTTGCATTGTGGGAGATTGCTGTCAATGTCATGAGACAAAGTATACATGAACTGCTGTATGGAAAATGAATTTGCTCTGTAAACTTTCACCCAAATCACAATTTTAAAAAAATGATACTTTACTTTTATTTCAAGCAGGCTTTTCTTATCCCAAGAAATCAAACCAAACGCACTGTCATTCAGTTGATTCTGACACACAGCAACCCTATAGGACAAAGTAGAATGGCCCCACAGGGTTTCCAAGGCTGCAAAGTTTTACAGAAGCAGACTACTACATCTTTATCCCTCAGAGCAACTGTAGGTTTGAACTGCTAACCTTTTCATCAGCAGCCAGTGTTTAAACCACTGGACCACACCAGGGCCACAAATAGAAACATTTCTGACCCAAAGTTAATCTATCTGTGGTGGGTTTTTTTTTTTTTTCTCTCTTTCCCACAATTTGGAGTTTTTTTCTTATACAGGAATTGGTGGCTGTGCTCCAGACGATGGACCCTGCCTATCAGTGCCCAACCAGTGCGTGGATGACAGCCAGTGTCCCTTCCGCAAGAAGTGCTGCTACAAGCTTGCTTCCACCAGTGCCTCTCCAAGTCTCGGGTAAGTGCCCCCCTCCACCCTGCTGACCTCCACATGTCCCAGGGCCAGCAGGATAGGCAGGACTCACCCTGTGTTGCAGTGAAGCAGGGCAGCTGCCCTGAGGTCCACCTGTGCCACCTGAGCCCCACTAGCACCTGTGCCACCAGACCCAGACTCCCACTTTACAGAAAAGGAAGACAGGATTCAAGAGGGCAGATCACTTGGCCCAAGGTCACAGAGAAATTTAGTGGCAAATGCAGGATTCAAACCCAGTGTATTAGCTAACTTTACTGT